GGCCCAGCACGAAAATAGGGGTCTGAAAGTTTGTGCTTAAAGGTTGCGGTTGCTGGTTGGCCAGTGTGTCCTGCGGTGATTCGAGAGGATGACTTCAGGTTGATTAAGCTGCGAGAGGAAGCTGGCGAAATGCGATTCGAGGTTAAGTGGATGCCTGGCTGTTGTATACCTACTTCTTCCTGCAAATTGATGCGAATTGTTTGACTTTGGTGCGGCTATTGCATTAGAATGTCGTGGTTAGATTTGTGTCAGTTGGGTTAAAGTAAAATAAAGACAACGTTACTTAAGAAACGGGTTAAGAGTGGAAAGTTCAGTTGGTTTATCTGCAATTCGGTAATGACAGATAACGAAGTTAATTTACACGTTATATTAATACTGTCAAGGCAAGTTTCAGTACATATTTTTTTCGAATGGGATACGATGAGTATCCAGAGAGTTATTATTATTAGTATGAGAATTTAATACGCTTAGATAAGCCCAGATTAGATAAGTTATTGGTTTCGCTGTGCTGTACATACTTTGCGGAGTAAGTTTATTAAATCTTTATGTTTTGAATACTTGGGATCAGAATTATAGATTAGTCTTGACTATTTTACAATGAATATGTAAGGTAAGACCATGCATTTAAAATTTACCCCACCTACTCTGTGCCTTTATTTATTTTATTTATTTTTTTAAAGACCTTTCGGAAAACTACTTTTCGGACGGAATAAAAAAATTTGGAAGATCGCTAAAAATAATTGTACTTTCCTAAAAAGGTACATTGAATAAAATACAAAAAATAAAATTAATTAATTTTTTGGTTGGCCTTGGTCTTCCAGACCGACAATCTCATTTAATTTTTCTCATGCTGTATGCCTTTGGGTGATCGATTAGTTCCACCTAAATAGTCTTGTTCTGAGATGTAATATTAGCGTGTACCGTCGTTCTTATTGCGGCTTAACTGTCAGACAGAACGACAAAAAGAAACCATGGGCTCATGAAATTCGGATATACATAGGTAATTTTTATTTCATTACTCAGAATCTCTATATTTCACCTACACTTTTTTCCCCTATACACCTTAATTTGCCACAACTCCACGTAGTTACAGGCTTAAATATGTCTAAGTCCTAAATAACATTAATCAAATGTATAGAAAATACCCAAGCTTTACCGACCAAAAATACTCATACCAAAAATGCATTTTGTCACCCATTTTTTTTATATTGAAGTTGTTTTCTTGTATGACGAGGGCCCTTATCAAGGATGACTCGAAATGGACATCCTTTCCGCTAAGCCATCCATAAAAAGTGCTCAAACTTTTTGTGCGGCAGGCCTGTCCTTGACTATTAGTTATCCATGTTCAGTTTTTCAGGGCCTGTTCCTGTTGTGACTTGAGCCAATATTTTTTTAAATATTCCAGTGCTATTTTCCCCATTATTTACTGGTGGGCTGACTTTCACTTCGGCCCGTCTTTGTCTCGCTCCCCCCATTTCACTCCGTTCGTTCACTGCCCGGTGCGATAATCCAGACTTGTGCCATGTGAATAATGATGTTCCAGATGCTGAGGAAAAAGTCGCTTAACGTTTTTTCCTATCTTTCCCAGCAGCCATGGAACATTTTTTCACTGTCGGCGAATCCGAGAAGACCGCGTGCTGGTGACAGCTGAATAATAATAAGAATATTTTTTAATATTCACATATGAGTTTGCAGTGCTAAAGAAAGTGCAGAAATTTAATGTCAGTATTTAAAGCAATATTTAAAATAGATATTCTGGTCCGCAGCCAATCCATTTAGTAAATTGAATTTGCCACCCGAAAATATTTTCCAATTAAACTAAAATAAAACATTTCTCACTTAATTCATGCCAGTTTTTAATTGTTTGCATTCAAATTGTTATTCATAGAATGCTCCAACTGCAGCCATTTTAAACTAAAACCCCGCTCGAAAAACATGCATATCTACCTACAGGAAGAACAATGACGCAAACACATGTTGTGTAATTATAAGCAATCATTTTTGGGGGTTGCTGCGCCACCACCACCTGAAAGCCCTTTGCATGGAAAATGCAAATAAAATGTACACAATACATATAAATACATGCGTACATATACATATGTATATGAAATTAACAATTTTTGTGGGCCTGGAGGAAGAGGCGGACTACGAATTGTGTAATAAATGTTTTTCGCAGCAACGGAGACAGCGACAGAACAACAAACTTTAAACACAGGCCTGGCCATAATGGGCCACAGCCACTGAAAGCGACAGGCTGGCCTACAGAAAACGAGCAAAATATTAACGCCGCCAAACAGAAGAAGCTTTAAAACAGCGGGTAGACTATCTGATACCCAGGTGTCAGCCATTCAAATGATCTTATCGCTAAATATAACGATTTATGAAATTATAATTAAGAACTTCACGGAATTTCTTACGACGTTCAAGCGTTCATAATTAAGCGCAGTTGCTATATGTTCAATAATTAGATAATATTTGTATAAAGATATTTTGAATATGAATTAATTAAGCAATTTCAATACTTTCACTGAACTTGAGCATGCTTCTACATAGCACACGGTATTTCTCCTGTATGACCATTCTGTGCTGCAAAGAGACAAAACCGCAACAATTTACAATAATTTACATACAATTCACAAAAATAAAGCGGCAACAACCGACAGCCAACGAGCCATTCCCTGACAATTAACTCGAAAATGACCCGCTCTCTGTCTTTGACCGTTGAGAGGCCGCAATGCTTGCGGCAACAGCTTTTTTGAAAACGTTTTTTAAACTATATCTTAGCTTAAATCGTTAATAATACTCAATTAAAAGTTTTCTCCAGCTGCGGGCACGAAAATCATTTAATCAGAGCAATTAAAATTGTGCGCAAATTCTGCAAAACTAATTTAAAGCCAAAATGAACAAAAAAACTTGTGCATTCCGGCCAGGCTGGCCCTTTCAGCAGCATTTGCATTTATTTATGCAGCAACAACAGCAGCAAACAATCAGCTGACCAAACTCAAACTGGCTGGCCACACTCTAAAACAAACAAAACATGGGGAAAACATTTACATATGAACTTTCATTTGGCTTACAATTTTGTTGTCATTGTTCCTGTTGTTTTTACGGGCAGTACTCCTCATGAATAATATGTTTGCTTGTTGCAAGTTGGTTACATAGCCGAAAGATATGCATGGTATGTATCTATTAAGTGCATTAGAACTTCTGCTACCAGGACGATTGACACTGAGTGGAACTTTCACCGAATTGAGTATTTAAAACTTCTTAATTTACATTTCAAGAGACATTTCCAATAGAGCAATCACATCAATTGAATTAAATGACATCGGGTTTTACTCGAATTTTTTCCAAACAATAAATACTATTTAGAAGAAAAAGGCACATAGAAATAATCGTAAAATTGGCAAGATATAGAAAATAGTTCTTGCATTTAAACAGCTTAGGTTCTAGTAGTTTTTGGGGTTTAGCGCCGCAGTAATAATACTTTAGTCGCTGTAGCTACAATTCCTGAAAAACTCCGTCAAAACTAAATTTTAAGTTGTTAGTGAATTCCCTTGGAAGGGATTGGTCACATAATTAGTGTCTAACCCCGGCCCTCTTTTTCCTCTCCCTGCCTTGCAGGGCTCGCAGGATATTGCCTCTGGCATATGTTCGTCCTTGAGTTTGGTGTGTGTGCGCCAAGACAGCGTCCACTTAAGTATGCAACACAAAATTCTTGTACGCTGCATGCGTACCAAAAATACCGAAACCAAAGCCATCCTGTTTGTGTTTTTTTTGCTTCTGTTGGTGTTGGTAGTGCTGGTGTGTCTGCGTCTATTGTGCTATTTACTTAGCCAAAACGTGCGTAAAGTTTTAATTATAAACTTTTTCTTGCACTCTTTCAGTCAGTTTAGGGAGCAGGTCCACTCTGGGTTAAATGTCCCTCAACATTCATTTTACGGCACTTTAAAGGGGCAATTTATAAGATTTATGTGTAGGTGGAGACATCTGTTCTGGTGCCTCAAATTAAGATTAATTAATTATGTGATTTATGACCGGAGGAAAATGTTACGAATTTGTTTCTGACCCTCTGTGTATATTTCAGCAATTTAATGTCTTCAGCAAATTCAAACACTTGAATTCAATTTCGACATGCAGCTGGCCTTAAAAAAACCTCTTTGCATAATTGCAAACTATTGCCGTCCAAAGTGGAAAATCAATTTAATTTGCTGATGGGCAAAAAAGAAATAAATTCGAATTTTTATGTGTTTATGTATATATCGATGCAATGGTGCTTTGAAATCAGATCAAATACGGAATGCAAAGGGTCGTTGAATGGTTGGTTGTTGATAGAGGCGCTTGGGACATATTTGGGTGAATCAATTAAACGATATTGCATTTACTTCTTTATTCTATGAATGTTGTTTTGAAGCGATCTCCCTGCTCACAAGCGGTATTGTATAGGCATTAGGACTATAGACGGCTTTACTACAAAAATATATTAATTACTATATAATTTACTTTGGAGAAATTCCATTCTCGCTTTCCATCCATAATTAGTGTTATTGATTCCGTTATCCGTCATCCATTATTTGGCTCTTCTGCAGTTCCGTTTAATAGACCACTTGTTGACGAGCGCCAAAAACTCTTTTGTCCATCCAAAGAGTCGGATTGAGGCCCCAGAAAATATGAGGGAAAACTCTGTGCAACCGTAATCCTGCATTCCGCCTAAGAGCGGAACAATGCCCCCACGTGCACAATGCTCTTTTCTCCCGGGATTCGTTATTGGCAATAGACAAACTCCGTTTGAGCGGATAATTGCATGCAGCGCTTTATAAATCAACAAACGTCTTCACATGGCAGAGGTTTTTGTGCATTCGATTGGGGGCTGCCTGGCCTTGCTGCCTCGTTGGCTGGATGGTTGGTTGGCTGAGTGAATGACTGCCTGCCTGCCTGACTGAGGACTGAGTGACTTGTTGGGTTGTACATTTCAATAAAACATTCAATGCATAACTACAATGGGCATAAGTTATGCTTCGCCGGAGAGCCACAGAGAAAGCCAGAGAGAGAGTGAGTGATAGAGTTCACTTGACTCGCACTAATTCCTTCCCAACGATAATGATGTTGTTGTGGATGTGGATGTATGGACAACAACAGATAAGGATGCCATCGACTGACTGAATGTATGACTGAGTGGCTGGCTTTTGTCTGGCTGAAAGCACTGCTTCTATACCTTCCATACCATCATCTACTTTATCCCTGGATTATTACAGCAGTCAAGTGACGCCCGCCTATCCTTCTTAAGTTTAAATAAGGGTCTGCTATTTTAATGGAGTTCCGTTCAACTTTATATGCTTTCGTTTAAACAGAAATAAATAAATCAAAAATATAGCCAACAAAAAAGTTATCGCTAAACTTCCGCTGCACGGACGCTTGAAAAATGGCGGACATTGAACTTCTCAGCAGGCAGCCGAGGGCGTTACGAAAAATGTAAAATAAAAAGAACAGCCAAACGGAACTGAAAATAATCAACAAAAAGGCAACACCAACACGTAACATTAAACTTCACAGTCACAGCGTATTCGGGTCTGGTCTGACGTTTCTTTAAAGTCGCCCCAGAGTCCGCATCGAATGGGAACAGCCGCACGCCTGCAAGTATGCAATGCTGTAATACGAGAACAGCACGCGATGGGGCATTAGTAGGAGCTTGTGAGTTGATGGAACGGAGCGTAATCTACAACATACATACAGTATGGCTTATGGAGCAGGCAAGTCTTCTAAACCATGGAGCGAAACTTGGGGAGCGGAAGAGCTTAAGTTGAAGGAGCATTCCCATTGAAGGTATATGGTATATGAGATAATACAAAATACATACGGAAACTTTTAAACGATTAATTATGATTTATCAATGAGTATAATGTCCACGAACCACTCCCAGCTGCTCCTTTTCCTTCTATTCTATTCCACTCGTGGGCCATTCCGCCCTACGACAACGTGAGAATTGTTGAAGTAATCAACTCAATTAGCCGTCGCATAAGCATCAGCCCCGCACCGCACCGCACCACACCACACAGCCGCAAACAAACACAAAACTCAATTAGATGGCATAACTAAATAATCACAAACACATTTGAGCAAACAACAGCTAGCTCCTCAACGCCATTCCTAGGCGACCGCCGAACGTCGTGACGTTGCTGTGTAAGCGGGAAAATAAAAAGGAAATAAGTGGAAAACCGGGTCAACAACAAGAACAACATTAACATGAGCGCAACAATTTTGAAACAATGGCGACAACAACCAGAGCAACAAGGCATGCCTAGAAAATTGCTTGAAATGTGCGGAAGCCCGAGAAAGGCAGGGACTGCGGAGGCATTCCAGCATGTGACGCACGTGACAAAACTTGTCAAATGACTTTACTTCACTTTGACGGGGAGTCCCGGTCCTGGTCCAGAGTAAACACAGCCAGCGCTCAAGTGGAGGGCCGGCAGCGAGAAGATGGAATCCCGGCCAGGATGAAATATATGTTTGAGTGTACTCGTACTTCTCCCCCTTGAAATGCTTAAGAAAACTCTGTTCCTACCGAAACAATAAAAAAAGCGAGGGACGAAGCAAAGAATGAGTCGCGTACCATATCTCAGTTTTTTCCAACTTGTTGCGCCTCCAGCTAAATTATGACATTGGGGCGATGGAAGGAAAAACAAGAAGAGAAGCCCTCGGTGGCAGCAGCAAATATATTTTAAAAAGTGCAGTGAAGTGAAATTCTATTTGATTTTTAGATAGCCAAGAAAGTTTATTTTGGCTGAGTGTGGAGGAATTTTTGTAGAATTTTTTGTTTGAAATCCATACCAGGGATTAGTAATAATAACAGGAAATACTCGTTTCCAAAAGTTCCCCCAAGTAGGTAGGCCTTGACATTGCACTTGATTTCTCGAATGCTCTAGCCTGTGTGGGCTCCATAGATTTTCATTCTAGTCTGAGATCTCGAACGAAAAACACATTTTGGAAAAAAAATAAAAATTTTGTTTTTTTCAAATCCTACTTCCGTAAACAGGCGAACGTAAGTAATAATTTAAAATAAAAGTGAACAAAATTTAAATACGAAAAATAATTGAATTTTGGATATTGCAGAAAGAAAACCAAAGATGTGCAATCCTTGCTTCCGCTCAATGCCTGGCACTTGCTGTGGACCAACTGGTGGACTGGGACCCTGCCTCCTGTGCGGACCTTACAACGGCCAGTGGTTCAAGGCAATCAATCACTGCTGCGGCCCGTGTGGACCCTATGGCTGCTGTTCCTGCTATGGGCCCTATGGCGGACATTGTTAGCCTGCTTAGAAGGAAGGTAGGATCCAACACCGAAGACCAAAATCAATCGCGAGACCTTGGATCAGAAGAAACTGCATTCTAGAGGAACAAAATTCGAATATGCCCAAAATAATGGCTGTTCTCTGTCTAAAATCTTGGTTGGCCAATATCTCTTGATTACAATCCACAAAAACATAGACGAATGTTAATAAATTATTTGATGTAATTTTCCTCACACATTTGCTGAATATTCTTTTGTGGGACGTTGAGGGTTGCACATACCTGCAATTAGGAAGTGACACTTCCGATATTCAATTGTTTAAAATAAAATGACTGCTAAGCATAAAAGAATATGACTACTAGATAAATGGTAATAATAAAATCATTAAAAACATAATATTGGGAATACTATTTACATTTTAGTTACTTTTCAGTAATCCGAAAACTGAATCCGCTCTATTGTTTAATTCTCTCCCGAACCACTTTCACAAACAATCAGCAAAAAACCAGTAAATATTACAATCAAAATTGGCTTTACGATGGCTGCAGACCAGCGAGCTCAATTTTCAGGCCTGCTTTTGGGTAGGGTCTCGCTCACAGTCCACGGGGTGCATTTAAGGCTAAAGCCGATTTGATTGTAAATATTTGGCTCGTTTAGAGCTAATGACACATCGGGGACTACCAGCGAGTCATGTAATGCTAATGGGTCTATGGAGTGCCAATTTGTCTGCCAGAATAAAGAAGGAGAATATGGGGAGGGCTGCAGAGAGAGTTAGTCGGTCTTCTTATTGTTTTTTTTTTTTTTATTATGTAAGCGATTTTTGATCTCAAACTTAAATTCAAACAGAAGGAAAAGAGGCATCCCGGCTGTTACTTGGGGCGCTTGAATATCTTCGAGCCACTCAGTGATGGAAAGTACTCCAGACTGTTGAGATCGGGGGCTTGATTCTTGTCCGGAATTGGACACGGTCCCTTGCGCTGATGCGGCTGAGCCTTTCGTTTGTTAAAGTCGCCCTGGCTCTGGCGGAGAGCCGGAGGAATGTAGATTTGTTTCTTGGCCACTGTGTGATTCCCTTTCCCGTCTGAGTGTTCATTCTGTTTGGCCGACTCGCGGTTAGCCTGCTCCGACTTCTGCCAGGGACATGTTGTGGTTAGCGCGCTTTCATTCGATCCAACATCAATGCCATCGCCTCCAGTGTCTAGCTGTTCAGGCTCCGATTTCAGATCGCCAGCAGCGAATGGGGCAGTTGCAGTGGTGATAAGCGCCATCGGTAGGGCGCGTGGCACATTCGTAAATTTACGACGATTCTCCTCGGTGAAGTCAGACCATTCATCCTCTTCGCTGTGCGCCTCATCGGAGAAACGGATCCTGAATTTAAGCGGGGCTGTGGCTCCTACAGAAGCAGTTTCCAACTCCTCCGATTGGAAGGCATGCTCAAAGTTGGAGTTGGCCTCCGACGACAACTTCGTTGATTCTTCGAGCGTTTTGTACAGCTCCTCAGCAGCCAAATATTCGGAATTTTTTTTGGACTTTTTGCTATCCTTTTTGGAAAAGAAATCTTCAAGATTGGACATTTTATTGCATTTGTATGTATATTTTAGTTTCTGCCAGAAGCAACACTTTCGAATTGTTGTTCCTAATACTACAAATTTTAAGCGAAATTGCTAAGAAACACGTCTGAAATTGACTGGAAAACTATTGGTTAACAAAAGGCCTACTTGAAATTTTTTTATACTCGTACTCAAAAAGAGCTAAGGGGTATATTAGTGGGGGGCCAGAGAAGGAAACGTTTCCGACCCCATAAAGTATATATATTCTTGATCAGCATCAAATATCCATGTCTGTCTGTCGCCGATGACGCAAATTATAGAATCAATATATGGTATGGACATTAACCATATATAGAGATTCGCGCCCCACAAAAGACGAAAATCTGTGGCATGGTAGAGAATGACTATATCTACATGATTGGCTGGTTCAGATCGGATCATTATTATAGCCAGAATAAAGAAATTAATTTTCAGTTGCTTCCCCCACCTCCTCCAGCACTGCTGATGCTACTTATTCTCTTTCTCGCTCGCAAACACTCTGCCCTGTGCAATGCGCGACCTTTGCGGAGAAGATGAAGAAGATTGTGTATGTAGAATCTACATTTTAGATGTGGAATCGACATTGTAAATGTAGATACAAATTATGAGATGAAAATCCAATCTGAAAGTCATGAAGTGCGAGCGAAAGGTCTATATCCTGTCGTTTGTGCTTCTAATCTAGCCGATAGAATTGTACATTGAACATTTCTGGGATCGAAACAAAAAGACTAGATTTTAAAAATGTTCTTTCCAATTCCGCCAGTTCGCTAGAGAAATACAAAATATTTATATATTCTTTTTTTATGCCATACGAATAACCATCTTTGTTTTCGCTGGCGAAAGAGTTATTTAAGTACTAGGCTAAATACAGCCCTGAATGGCCCGATCCTAACAAAAAAGCACAAAGATATGGCATCAATTTCGCAATTTATGACCCACTTGGAAAGACCGGTGCAGCCATTTCGCAACAAAATGCAATTTAGTGATACCTTTCCAGGCTGTATTTTAATTAAAGAGGGAAACTTTTGTATAATATGTATAATAAGTAGGTCGGAATTGGGAATTGTGAAATTTACTTTGAAAATATTTATACATATTATAGTTTAAAGGATGTGGTTTCAGACGTGGTACATTGTGCTTATATTAGATCGTGTGAAAAGTTGTGTTGGTATCGATGATGTGTATCTGCTAGTGAGCAAATAAGTTGACAACAGCGAAGTCGACTTAGACCTGCCTGTCCGCATTTTTGTCCTTCTCTAGTATGCCAAACTTTGCTTGAAAGGGTAAGTGGAGCTTCGGTTTCCTAATCCATGGTTCTGGCCACGCGTAACCCCCTTGTACTCGAAAGCTGTAATAACATAATTTTTGTGTGTGAGCGTGCGGAGAGAGGAGGAGGAGGAGGAGGAGATATCCTCTCAGCTGACATATGCCACTAATTAGAATTATGTGCGCGTAATGCCCTGGCCACGCCTCTTCTGTGCAGTTGCTGCATTCGCCCACTTCCCTCCATGCGGCGACATTTGGAGTGGTGGAGCAAACCTTTTTATGCCACTGTGCCGCATATGTTCATTATGTTTGCCTGCCGACAAGTCCTCCACGAGTGCTCGACGTCTGCTTGAGTAATTACCAGGAACCACAGACCAGAAACAGAGCCAGAAGCGCATCGTGAATGCAATGGCAGAATGCAAGTGCAGGTTGTCCTTGTCGTCCTTGTCTGCCATCGTCACTACGGCAAAAGCTTTTTATGAAATGACGATGACATAAAACAAATGTGCTAGCCAAAAGAGACAGGGCCAGAGGAACGGACCGAGAGGGAACACCAACAACAAGATTTGTTCATGTCTCTACTTAAATTTATTATTTAATTAGTGGGACCATTTGGGTGTGTAGTTATCAAATTTGTGTGGAAATATAGGGGAAACCTAATAGAAGTTTCACAAGCCCAGAAAGAAAATTAATTATATTTTATAAATAATTATTCTGAGCCATGGACACAAGTAATATGAGTAATTATATTTATAAGTTTAGTTTACAACCTACAGAGGGGGAAGGAACTCGGACAGAAATTCACAAGCAGATATCATTGCGCTTCTTACCAAACCCGCTTCCAAACCCTTAGTCATATTTCACCACTGTTCCTTCTTGATGGATAAAAATGGTGCCTACCATCCCAACTTCACCTGAAGCCCAGGGTCAATATTTTTGTCTGTGCTTTACAAACATACACCAATTTCGCTTTGTGTGGAAAAAAGTACCTGTGATTGTCAGCTGGTAATTAATATTATTCAATTAACACCAGACGCCAATTAAAAGATGAAAGTGAAATGGAAAATTAAAATTTTGACGCCACCCGCAGGGAGTGAAAAATTAGACCCAGACCATAAGAATGTATCTGGTTTTTTAATCGAACCCCTCTCACTTAAAATTCCACGCCTCGAGGCCACAAATATCTGATTAGGAGAGCTCGAGCTTCAAAGGAAAATATTTGGAAATAAGTTTAAGCATGTACGAGTAAAATTTTTCATTGCACATGAGTCAGTGGCTGAAAAAAGGAGCAGTTGCCAAGTCTGCATAAAAAGTTCAGCGGAAAACTGTGAAAACTATCAGAGGAAAACCCCCAAACCGAAAGCATCACAAACACGCACACGGGGTGGAAAACAGGAGGCGGAAGAGAAACAGAAACACTGATGGAACAGAGGAAAATCATCCCCCACCGGAAGGGAGACTGCTAGAAATATTGGCGCCACATTGGCGGCCCGTCTGGCCGGAGAGTCGGCGACGTCTGCGGCTCATCTCAACGCTGCCTGCTCCAACTCCTGCTCCTGTTATTGCTATTGATTTTGTGAGAGTGTGTCTGGGGTGTGCGTACGAGTACGCATACGAATACAGGGAATCCTTCAAGGGGGACACATTCAACGTGATGCATAATTCGGGAACACCCTCGCGTAGTGCTGATGACATCATCATGACCATCAGCATCAGTATCATCCGCAGTGGTAAACAATTTTCAGTTTGGAACTTTCCCATGAAGTTTTATTTTTATTTTTCTGCTCAGCTCGGCTTACCCTCGCTGCCTTTCTCTCTTCTTCGATACTGTTTGCTTATATGAACATTATATTTTATGCTTATTGTGCGACTCGATTACTTTAAAGCTGTTTATCGCCCTCTGACGCAGTCCGTTGCAAATTTTACTCAGTCATTTTCCGTGCGGCCTGAGCCCGACAATTTGTATCGCACATACGTACATCCATTAAAGCAAAGTGTTACAACACATTTAAATTATATTGTAGACTATTCCGCGTCACGCACGTTTTACCGACTTTTACACATGCACGCGCTTTTCGCACTCCGCTCGATGCGGATCGCCTGCTCGTGTGGCATGGAAATTGTTTGTCGAATTATAGAATTTCTTTGGGTTAGTTATAGTTTTCAACACGTTTCCCGAAACGAGCGGAGAAGATATGCCAAATGGGATCTCAATGCATGAAATAGGAAATAGAGTCCTAACAATATGATACCACACCCAACATCTTTCTGCTAAGTGCCCTTTGAAAGTGTCTTTTGCTTAGGAGAGCATTTTGTTGAAGTACTTAATTTCTATAAGTTTCCCTTAGTGAATCTCTGAGACTCGGGGTCATTAGTGCACTTCACATTGGGAATCATTAGTTGGAGGCGCACAGTAAGAATAAAAAAACAATCTTTCATTCTCTTAATCTTCTGGTCCGAGTAAAACTTCAACATAGAAGTGTGGAAAAATTATCTATCGGCCACAGACGATGACTCTGAAAGTTCCTCGAGAATTCTGACTATGCGAAAACATTTTCATATTGATGAACTAAAACTGTTGTGTTGCCTTTATCCAATTTTCTTATTTGCCTCCTTTTTATTTGATTTAATCAATGTGCATCGGCATTTTCCAGCGCACATTTTCTTCGCCTCCCCCTCCCCACCCATGACCATGCCTCTTTCTCTTTAACGGTTTATTTATTTGTATTTGACTTTCGCTGCGTGGCGGGAAAATGGCGCGGAGGAAGCACCAAAAGCAAATACAATTACAGTGAGTGCTCCTGCTCCTGCTACTGTTCCTGCTCCTTCTATGACTTTGCTGCCTTTGCCATCCCTTTCTGGCACTCTCGCACTGTCGCTTTCGCACTCACGCCAGAAATTGGCCAAAAGCACAGATAAAAGTAAATACATAAGTAAACAAATCATTTGGAAAAATATTTTTGCGCACAAATCACATCAAGGTGCAAAAATTATTTACGAATATTATTTTGGCAAACGAAGCGTCGGAGAAGAGCAAAGTGCACAGAAAAGGTCGACGGATGGTTGGATGTACAGATGGATGTATGGATGGATAGACACGTAGGAGAGATGCACAGCGTGTGGGGTGGCTAGAGGAAGTGCCAAAATATGAGAAAACGGAAAGTCGAAAGCAAAATGTTGAAAGCGTGAAAAGTGTAAATATTGCCAGTGCCATAATATTTGTATTCTTCCTTTATTCTGGTGTTCCCTCCCCACCTGCATGTCGTTGATGAGCGCAAGCTTCAATGGTTTTCAGCAAAGGCGATAAAGTTCTTGACGGACGGACGGACGGATTGACTGACTGTCGATGATGGGAGTAGCTTGAACGGGAGTCCGGTCATGAATGATGTGGCTGATGGGATGTACTTGCACTATGTGTGAAGTTGTGGCATAGACAGGAACATTGATTGGTTTGAAAGGGACTTCAAGTCTGCTGCTTATTTACTATATCGCATTTTATTATCTTTGAAAGTCTTTCTTTCAATAAAAGATCTCTGCAAGTTGACAACTAACATATCTAGTATGAAATCAGTGAAAATATCAAGGTAACTTTAATTTCTGACAGCCCACAGTTGCTCAACTAATTATAAAATATTTGTATAATGCGCTCTCCGACTCTCCGAATATTTCTCAAACATTTAACAGAAACATGTTCACTGATAAGACTCGTACTCGTAAGAGCAATAGTATTACAGTAGGGCAGCCAAAATTATTTTACTCAAACAAGAAGTTTTGCAGCACTTCCACTTCCGCTTTCAAGTGCTGCCTTTGGGGGTACTGGCACAGATTATTATAC